GAGAGAGAGAGAGAGAGAGAGAGAGAGAGAGAGAGAGTATGCATAGGTATGTAACATGTCTGTATGTAAACATGAAAGAATATGCCAGAAACATAACTTAGTAGATAGAGAAAGGAATAACTTTTAAATTAGCATTTTTCTGTCGGAAACTGTTTAGAACTAGACTTGGCTTATATTATGACACCTTGTCTTGTACCCCGTTCTGGAAAGTATTTGACTCGACAAAATGAGTTACATGTTTTGCAATCAGAGCCATACTGGTTTCTTTAGAAAGCACAAAAGTTAGTCAAAAGTGAAGACTGGTTTTAACATTTTGATTTGAATTCCTTGCAAGTCAGTTATACCTTTACCTGTGTTTGAAAAATCAAGACATCAAAATTATTGGGGGGGTTTTCCTGATGACAAAATTTAGGAAGAATTTCCTGTTGTACAAAAGGTCATCAAATTGTAGCCACTAACTAGAGCTAATGTTTTTCTGTCTTGTGTTCCAGATATTTAAGTCTCTAACTAAAGAACTCAAAGGCTTTAGAATATTATTGTGGGTTGTTTTTTTTCTTTTGAGCGCTTATGTATCTTTTCTAGACTAATTTGTCTTTGGTTGTTGTCCTGTTCATTTTCTCTACTTCATTTCTTATTTAAGCCTGCGAGGTGAATACAATCAGTCTCCCGAGTCCTTTCATACGTCATCAGATGAGCAAAAATTGAAACCTCACGTCCACATACTTTAGTTATAGCGACTAGAGCGAAGGGTGCTGACAGACTTTGTCCTGTACTGGCTGGTGTTTGGCGTGTGGGTGTGTGTTGTGAGGTTACTGTTCCAGTAAATGAATGTGGCACAATTTGTTAAACTACTGGTCTACTGAAATAGAAGAAATCAAATAAAAATTTTGTTTAGAATACCAATGGCGTGTTGTCAGTCCTTTTGTTAAAGTTCGTACATACCTATTTAATCCCTCATTTGTTTTTCCTCCATTTCAAAATGATTTGTTTATTTCATTTCTTTTTGACGGAGCTGTGATAGGTCATCTTCTGCATATTTCTCTATATTTTCTTAAATGATGTCCCCCCCCCACCCA